CCCATTAGGCAAGATGGATTACTAGGTTACCCAACATCAAACTTTTCAAATAATATACCAGTAACACATAACTTTTCTCAACACTTTCCCATTGGGCAAGATGGATTACTGGGTTACTCACCATCAACCCAACCTTGTCTTAACTGTCCGCCTAGTCAAGTTCAACAAATTAATCCACTTTATCAAAATAATGATTTTTTTGGACTTCAGAAATCCCTGGTCCCACTAGCACTACAATTTGCTCAAGCGATCGCCCATGTGATCAGTCAAACATAATAAACCACAGTCTATGCAAATCCAAAATACACGACATCAATAGGGAAGCTCTCGGTTTTTTTACACTCCATACGCCCTTTCTAAATCTATTACTTATCAATGCACGTTCACTTCTGAACAAAATTTCAGCCTTGAGAACATTAGCCTTTCTATCCAAGCCTTCTTTCATACTTATCACTGAAACATGGTGCTCTCATGCAGTATCTGACTCAGAATTAAATATCCAAAACTATAGACTCTATCGCTGTGACAGAGAAACTAAGCGAGAAGGTGGTTGTATTATATATGCTTTGGATACCCCAACAACTAATAAAGTTGAAGATAGTGTCCTGAATAGTTTACCAGAATCAGTCTGGATATCTGTCAACACCCTGAATCATAGTCTACTCCTTGGATGTATATACAGAGCTCCTGAGAGCTCAAATAATGGGAATAATCTTATTATCAATGCATTCATACATGCATCTGCTCTAAACTTTAATGCTAAGGTTATCACTGGTGATTTCAATTATCCTGGGATTAACTGGAGTACCGGTAGCTGTCAGTCATGTAATGAGGAGTTCTCGGCAACCATTAACATGCACTGTTGGTCACAGTGGGTTCGTACCCCAACTAGAGGTGATAGTATACTCGATCTAATATTTAGTAGAGATATTATCCCACTGTCTGTAAAGGTATACGATGAATTTGAAAGCAGTGACCATAAGACAGTAGTATGCTCTCTCCCTATATATCCCTCTTCTAACCGACCCATTCAAAAAACCTGTCAATATAGAGACTTTAAGCATGCCGACTGGGACCTCCTGCATTCACTGATTAAACTTTCAGACTGGGATAACTTTTTTTCATGTACTAATCTCATAGATACTATCGACGAGTTCTATTTGATCGTTAACTCTTGTTTAGATTCTTCTGTACCTCTTAAAACGTACAGGTTTATTAAACCTTACGAATTATATATACCAGCTAAATATCGTAATAAACTAAGACGCCTACAGAATCGTTATTTCAAGTCAAACGACTTCACGGCAGCTGCGCAAACAACAATAATTTTTAATCAAATTAAAGAGACACATAGGTTAAAAGCCATTAATGAGGAGATACTAGCACTTAATAGTAACTCAAAAATACAAAACTTAACTCTACTTCTCAATAAACGCGCTAAAGTAACTCAAAATGTTGATATACCATGCATCCAGCATAATAACACTTTTATATACGACTCTAAAACTATGGCAGACCTTTTCAGTGGTACTTTTGCGAATGATGTAGGAACCGCAAGTGGCTCTGCTTCAAGAGTTACGTGCGTGACCAGCAACTACATAAAATCTATCTCCTTCACATGTAAGAAAATTAATATGTCTATAAATGCCCTTAGGCTTTCGCGCGGTCATGGAGCAGACGGGATTCCATCCTTTCTCTACAAATACGGTGGTCCAGATATTCCACTTCTTCTTCTAAAGCTGTTTACTCTCTCTATGGAAACTGGTTCTTACCCTTACTGTTGGAAAACCGCGTACATCATACCACGTTATAAATCTGGAGATAAGACTGACATGAACAATCCTAGCTAATATTCCGGCAATCAGAGACTGTGCTGTCTCGACTGGTTGGTCGGCCCACGCGAATGGATTGATCGGTCGATCAAAAACGAATGGACTACTTTCGAGTCCGTAACATCATCGTTCATCTCATTGTCATCACGTAAACTATCACATTACCCTCCATGGATTAATAAGGAAACCCGAAAGCTGTTGAAGCGTAGGAAACACTTCTGGGACTTATTCTTGTTGGCAGGTCACGTATCGTTTGAGTTTGAGTACCGAAAATTCCGGGATATTTGTAAGAAAACTATAGCTAAATCCCGTGCTACTTACGAACGACAGTTGGGATATGATAGCCGTACTTGTCCAAAACGATTGTTTTCGTATGTTAAACGGCAAATAAAACGTAGTGATAGTATTCCCCCATTATTGTTACACGATAATTCAGATTTGCTAGCTAAATCAGATCGGGAAGATCTGAGGCTTTTTCAAACTATTTTAGCGAAGTCTACTCTACGTTTATTTTAATAAATACACTTCTGGGACTTATTCTTGTTGACAGGTCACGTATCGTTTGAGTTTAAGTACCGAAAATTCCGGGATATTTGTCCGAAAACTGCAGCATCTAAGGACAGACACTTCTCCTGGCCCAGATATGGTCCACTCTGCTATACTGAGGGAAGCAGCTTCAATCCTGGCAACACCACTTACAGTGATGTTCTCACACTCGCTAAGTCGAGGCAAACTACCAGAAAATTGGAAGCTGGCTCATATCACAACAATTTTCAAAGGAGGTCAACACAGAGAACCTTTAAGTTGCCGACCGGTGGCTCTTCTATCTATGTCTTCAAAAATCATGGAGTCTCTGATATACGATGGTATACATGACTATTTACTGTCCTTAAATTTCTTCTCACCCCAACAGCATGGCTTCAGGAAGGGTTACTTTTGTATAACCAACCTGCTGACTGCAGTGGACAGATGGACAAGCATCCTCGATCGCAAGGGAAAGGGGGATGTCATTTACCTTGATTTCTAAAAAGCTTTTGATAAAGTTGTAGAAATATGGTCTACTATGATATTAGTACTGCTCTACTAATAGACTTAATCTTAAAATTGTAGATTTGTTATGATATTACTGCCTAATTTATAAGATCTCACGTGGAAGTCACATCATCGTCTACACCAACTCACTGCATTGTAACAGTTACCAAGACATGATGGAGAACAAGCTTAGACTAGAGATAGAACAATATACTTAATATGGATAAAAGATATAAAGTAACATTCAGCAAGGACCACGCCTGCATGGCCGAGTCATGCCATCCGATCAACTCCAATAAGTTCAATCGATTGTTCCCGCCTTCTCCATTCGTCTGTATTGCTCGGCGTTAAATGTTGAATGTCTATTTCCCACATTGTCTAGTGTTGGGGCCCAATGCCACTACAAGTTAATCATATATGTCTTATCAATAAGCTCAAATGATCGGGTATCAAACCACCAATTGATTGGCTCATTTCATATCTGAAAAATCGACATTTTAGAGTTACGGTTAACTTCACTTTATCTCGGGCTATAGAATGTCATGGTGGAGTCCCTCAAAGCTCCGTACTAGGGCCTTTTCTTTTCTTGATTTATGTGAATGATCTTCCTCAACAGGTATCGTCGGACTTATTACTTTTTACCGATGACGTGAAAATTTGGAGAGAGATACGCAACCAAGACGATATACAGGCACTTCAGGAGGATCTGACTTGACTTCAAAGTTGGGCAGACGACAACGGACTTACCTTTAACACTTCAAAGTGTAAAGTAGTCCATCTGCGACATGTCGCAGATTACAGTTACAATTTAAGAGACTCCTCTCTAGTAGTATCCCGAGTTGAAAAAGATTTAGGCGTCCTGTTACCCTACGATTTGAAGTCTTACACTAACTGTGACAGAAAAGTCTTTCGAGCAAATCTTGCACTGGTAACATTGAAGCGCATTCTCGGCCAGTTTGACGAAAGGACCTACCACATAATCTTCAACAGTTTTATTCGTCCCCATTTAGAGTACGGAAACATAATATTTCCTCCCTCACTCCAAAAGGATAAGGACAAGCTCGAGCGTATCCAACGGTGACCCACGAAATCAGTTCGGGGACTCATATTTAAACCTTATGAAGAGCGCCTCCAATCACTTAACCTCTACCCATTAGAGTACAGACGTCTTAGAGGTGACCTTCTGATGGCTTACGGTATCCTTAACACAGCTGGACATCCTCTTAAACACCTACTTAAGCTTAGTTCCAATACTAACCTAAGGGGTAACACCCAGAAATTGGAGACAAAACATAGCAGGACGGACTGTAGACACAACTTCTACTCCTTAAGAGTTGTCAAATGCTGGAATTCGCTGCCGGCTGAGCTAGTCCAAACGCCTTTCCAGGAGTCCTTTGAGAGGCAACTTGATCTATTCTTAAGGACTATGGATAGTATCTTACTATAATTTACCAATTCATTGTTTTTTCTCTTTTATCGTTAATATAGCTAAGTTCCTGCCTGGAGGTATTTGTGACCCCCTACTACTAGACACGGAAGCCTGTTCAACGAAAGCTTCTTCCATTTGGTTCACAGTCATTTGAATCATTTGAATCCAAATGAGTGCCACAAAATCATTCCGACGACTCAAATTCAGATCTTATGAAGGGCATCTTTATTCACTGGATCTTTACCTCCTCGATTATGGGCGCCCCAATGATGAATTTTCTTTACATCATCCGAAAAACTCCCGAGCACCCACAAATTGCGTATCCAAACGCAGTCCGAGGAAAAATCTTCGGAACAATAACAATCAGAAATCATAAACAGCATTGCAATAATGACTGCAGGCATAACTACTCTTTGTGAGCAGTCAAGTCTTGTAATTCACTGTCAGCTGAGATTTTTCAGGATTCGTTCATTAAGAAACGTGAGATATTCTTTAGGACTAAACTATTCGAACATCTGTTGAATTAATAATGTCAGACATAATTTACTGCCACACTAATTACATTTTCACCACTAAATTGCGCAATAAACTCTACCAATCAGTTCAGCGATCTAAAGGATTCTCATTTTATTACAATGAAAAACAGTCTAAGAAAACCTTATAATATTTCATCAAAATCTGAACTTTGAATCTATCTTAGTTTAAACGCAGTTTCGTGAGCGTAGCAAACAGATTGTTGACGGTGGTTACTTTCGTTTCTGGTCAGGCTTAGTATGTGTGCACTAAATGCGTAAGTCTAGGAGTTGTTTTTGAAAATCTCGTATATTCTTGTCGAACAAATCTAATAATCATACCTATAATCCAATAACAGGAATCAAAGTAATGATCCTTTATCGGGGGAAAGAGTCAAATCCCATCGTTTGATTGTTGACGAACCGATAAAAGATGATAACTCGGTCGTTTATTTATCTCAGGTGAGTGTACTTTTGTGATAATCACCATCTTCCAGGCCAAGATGGATGCAATGAGTTTGTTTCGTGGTGATACTGTCTTGGTCAAGGGTAAGAAACGTAAAGAAACGGTGTGTGTAGCCATTGTGGACGAGAGTTGCCCAGACGACAAGATTCGTTTAAACCGTTGTATTCGCAGTAATCTACGAGTAAAGCCAGGAGATATTGTCAGTTTAAAGAGTCTTCCTGACATCCTTTATGGGAAACGCATTCACGTGCTGCCTATTGACGACTCTATTTTTGGTCTTACGGGGTAATGTCTTGTGTGTGTTAATAAATCTCTAGAAATTTATATGAAGCTTTCCTAAAACCATACTTTTTGGCTGCCTACCGACCTGTACATAAAGGCGACATATTTGTCGTACGTGGTGGGATGCGAGCTGTCGAGTTCAAAGTAATTGAAACAGACCCGTCACCTTATTGCATTGTTTCTCCTGACACTACTATTCACACAGAAGGTGATCCAGTTAAACGAGAGGTACGCATGGTTTGATTGCTAACTATTCACTTATAGGATGAGGAGGAAAAGCTGAATGAAATAGGTTACGATGACATAGGAGGTTGTCGTAAGCAGCTGGCTCAAATAAAAGAAATGGTTGAGTTACCTCTTCGTCACCCTCAGCTGTTCAAAGCTATAGGTGTGAAACCTCCTCGCGGGATACTCCTCTATGGACCCCCTGGTACCGGAAAAACCTTAGTTGCTCGGGCAGTAGCCAATGAAAGTGGAAGCTTTTTCTTTTTAATCAATGGGCCGGAGATAATGTCAAAATTGGCCGGTGAGTCGGAATCTAACCTACGCAAAGCGTTCGAAGAGGCAGAAAAAAATGCACCGGCCATTATCTTTATTGATGAGCTTGATGCGATCGCTCCTAAGAGGGAAAAAACCCACGGTGAAGTAGAACGCCGCATCGTTTCTCAATTGTTAACATTAATGGATGGTCTAAAACAACGGAGCCATGTAATTGTCATGGCTGCTACGAATCGTCCTAATAGTGTTGACCCCGCATTGAGACGCTTTGGTCGTTTTGATCGCGAAATAGAGATAGGTATTCCTGATAGTATTGGAAGACTGGATATTTTGCGGATACACACCAGAAATATCCGGCTAGCTGAAGATGTTGAACTTGAGCAAATAGCCAATGAAGCTCATGGTCACGTAGGAGCTGATCTAGCTTCGTTGTGCTCAGAAGCTGCTCTCCAACACATAAGAAATAAGATGAATCTTATTGACTTAGAAGACGACACAATTGATGCTGAAGTATTGAACTCGTTGGCTGTAACGATGGATGACTTTCGTTGGGCTTTAGGAAAGAGTAATCCGTCCGCTCTTCGCGAGACCACAGTTGAGGTACCAAATGTCACCTGGGATGATATTGGTGGGTTAGAAAATGTGAAACGAGAGCTCCAAGAACTGGTTCAGTATCCCGTTGAACATCCTGATAAATTCCTGAAATTCGGTATGACTCCTAGCAAAGGTGTCCTGTTTTATGGTCCGCCAGGTTGTGGTAAGACCTTGTTGGCAAAGGCGATTGCGAACGAATGCAAAGCCAATTTTATCAGCATTAAAGGACCCGAACTCCTTACTATGTGGTTTGGTGAATCTGAAGCAAACGTTCGGGACATTTTTGATAAAGCTCGACAAGCGGCACCGTGTGTGCTTTTCTTTGATGAACTGGACTCGATTGCCAAAGTAAGTAGCATTTTACCACTTTAATTGGTTGAGTTTGTTTACATGTCATGCTTATGTAGCTAATCAATTTGTATTCAAGAAGTGTTATGCAATCATCAGGCGTTTGAAATCAACTTTAAATTTTACATTTCGCAAGACTTATGTTGCCTAGGTCCGACTTAAAGAAACGCTATGGATTTGACTAAGCTTGTTGTTTCTGGTCCGTATTGGTATACATACGATAAATCAAATGGCGAGTAAGCAAGTATTGTTCAGCCTCTCGAGAGTGTGACTCTGAAACTCCACGTCAGTACTAACGCGAAAGACGAGAGTAATCGTGCCATATCGAGGAATAAGTGCACTTCTACTGTTGCATTTGCATATTCTTAGTTATTCTTTCAGATATTAGTTTCTCACGTCTTGACAGTTGCTCATAGGCTCAAATTCCTGTTCATTATTGTACCGATCTAATCTCCAGTTTACCTACAACTCTGATCTTAGTTTCTACATAGTATTGAGAAATGGAAAAAATGTTTGGCGTCCATAGTGGTCACGTTTATTCAACTAATCCATGTCAATATCCTACTCTAACGTAATGCATAAGCAGCTTACTAGTGTTTCAGCTCTGTATACCATGTATTTAGCTGGTAGACCATCCCCTACATCAAGTTCCGTCGGTATTCAATTTTTTACGAGAAAATCCAATAGCTGCTTTTCCTAATCAGTCCCTAGTTTATACGCTATGGCTGCTCAGTGTCTGATTTACTTATTAACTTCGCAAAAGTATTTTTCTCAAATGGGATATGGAGCAAGGATATAGAAATGTTGCTAAGTTTTTGGTGCGAAAGTCATTGCTAACTGATTAACGAATGATTAGATAGCGAGTTATTTATAACATATCTCATGCCAGTAAATGTCACTGATATTTTCGTCCCAATAAGCGCGTTCCCCATTGCAATGTTCACTTTCCTAGGCTCGTGGAGGTAGCGTTGGTGATGCTGGAGGTGCTGCCGATCGTGTTATCAACCAACTCCTAACCGAAATGGATGGTATGTCTGCTAAGAAGAACGTTTTTATCATTGGTGCCACTAATCGCCCAGATATTATTGATGGGGCCATCTTGCGTCCTGGAAGACTTGACCAACTCATTTACATTCCACTGCCAGATGAAGCCTCAAGAGTTAATATTCTAAGAGCTAATTTAAGAAAATCCCCGATTGCAAAGGTAAGTTATTACTTTTTGTCTGATCTTCATTAATGAGTCATTTTATCGGTCTCCCACATTTTCGATGGAAGTCTGGAATCTGTAAACCTAACTGCATCAAGCGTGGGGGTGCCCTTCGATGATATTAGGAAGTTCACACCACATTTGCAGAATTATAAAATATAACTTTCGGATTTCGGCACCACTTTGTTGGGATTGTCTTCTGTCGCACTTGGTGCTACTAATTTCGTTTCCCTTCAAAGTAGTGAGTGTGCACCTTTAGTTCTAAATATGAAGGCGGGAGAAACTTAGTTTCTTTCTATTCAGCTATTCTGTAGTCTACCGGCTGACAAAAAATCTTATTTGTACTACCCATTATGTGACTCAAAATTAAAAGAGATATGTTAGTTATTGACAGGTGGTTTTTGTTTGATAATTCTCCCTAACTGTGCAACTATGCGTAAACCAAATTCTTTCTACATTTACCACATAACTCTTTAGTTACAAACCCACGGTACTGTACTCTTTTCCGCTTTAATCTTGTGATTAATGGTTACTCAGTATTCTGATAACGTCTAGATTCCCATCACGTGAAATGCTTTGTACTACGAAGCTTCAAATATTGGTCGAAAATTCTAACTTCTCTCTCTAGGGGGTTACCATGCTCTCAATATGATTGAGTTTCTCTTACTTTGGTGATACTAAATGTGACGATTTGAGCTTATTTGCCATCACACGTTGTTTAGGAGTAACCTAAGTTGTCGCGCAAAAATTCGGCTGCGTAATAGCATACAACGAAATATTATATTATCGATAGTACTCCTGAATCTCTGAAAAGCCATCTTGCTTATCCTTGCAGCACTAACATATTGTACCTTTTTGCTATTGCAGTGTTCTGTAGTAGTCTTTTTAGCTAAAATTGTCTGGAACGTGACTTCAGAATAGTGCTTATATTGCCGATGTGTAGAACTTAAGAACTTGCGTTCTTTGCTAAAAACAATCAGTTTAGTCGGCTTCACTTCAGTGAGACAGTTTTTCTGGTATAAAGCGTTTGGTTTCCTCAGTATAAGTTTTTTGAAGTGTATGCAAATTCACCGCCTTTTGGGTATTAAGCTTATATGATTACTTGTAGAATACCAGACATTCTGTGCGCCTTTATGATCCTTTTTTGTTGAGTGTAAACAGAACAAAACAAATCAGAAACGTTTTAAACCGATTGCGTGATAATTTCGAACTAAAATCCACTCATCGGAAAAAAAGCTCGAGCAATTATGTTCCAACCACTCGTTTCGTATGTTGCAATTTCATACTCTTCAATTTAGACAGCTAGGTAATATCACTGGTCTTTATAAAGCTGTGACTTAAGTGAATCAGTACTTTTCGAATCGTAATTTTTAGTTATTCCTTTACACTATCATGGATCGCGCATTTTTAGCCCATTTAACAGTTTATTTGTTAGTGTTACACTTGAGACAAATTTTTTGTCTAAAATTTAAGGATTTGGTTGACAGATCTAAGATTGTACAATGTAATCTTTTTTAACTGTTTAACAAGCATTCACTGACTCTTATTCTTTTTAATATTAGGATGTCGACATTAATTTCTTAGCAAAAGCTACTCAGGGATTTTCGGGTGCTGACCTCACAGAAATATGCCAGCGTGCATGTAAACAAGCAATACGTGAGTCTATCGAGGCGGAAAAACGTGTTGAATCTGAAAAGAAAAACAAGCCTAATGCTATGGTATGTTAGTTTTTAGGTGTCCAACTTTTCTATGTGTTCCAGCAATGATTACGACAAGATTTTAATCTTCACTTCATTGGCAGTAAACTATCTTGGCAGCATTCTAATGTTATTTTTATTTATTTACCTAAACACAAATATTGGTACAAGGAGGCATCAAATAGATATGCGCCACATAAATCATTCGATTTGTGCGAGGGATGGGATACTGCTTGTGTGCCCAAACCGAGGCAGGCGGATTTCCTAGGGGGCCACTCTCCAAGCCTTTGACTCAGAGGTCTAGTCCACAGGGCAGTGGAGCAACATTAGGAGATGCAGTCACATGGTAGCCGGTGACCAACAATAGGTCCATAAGTCATTTGTTTCCTTAGGATCCTGGAACTTTTGTGCCTCACTGGTTTGGAATCAGGGTTTTGCAACTCCCCTAGGTGGACCCTTCGTATCCACCAACCCAGTTAAAGCTCCGGACACCCCCACCACGAGATAGTGAGTAGGACTTCCCTGGCAATGATTGTATGCACGTGGCCACGTGAGAGCATCTAGAAAGGGAGAGCAGACTCTCCCCACTCTCGGTCGTGTCAGGGTATTTGGAGGCAATTTTCTTTTTGGCTTTTTCAAATTACGATTATAATGAATCACGTAGCTCTTCGGGTTCCAAACTGTGCATTCGTATAACTGTCATTTATAAACGGAAGTAGCAAAAAACGGCTCGTTTTTTGCTTGGAACTCACGAGGATGACCCTAAGTTTATCGATTAGTCTAGAATAATTCTCAGGTTTTAATACGCTATGGAGCTACTTTGCTAACTTTACGTCTTTCCTGACGGCAATTTGTATTTTTAGTCACATTCGTCACAGTCATTCATATCTGTGTAAACATTCGTCATCAAAAAAACATTTAGTTTAAGTGATGGGCATAAAAAAACTAGCTATCATAGACCCCGTTCATTTAATTGATAACAAGTGTACAACCGATTTGTATGTGTTTATGGTTTTCTTAACATCAATTTCAGTATATCTAACATTTTCAGTCCACGTATGCATTGTGTATTCCGTAACATCAATCTAAAGTATTTTTGCTTTAACGATTCTCCCATGCATGTACTAAGATTAACAACTTTTCACAACCGTACAGTATCTTTTATCACACAGCGGTAATCATCTCTTGCATCTACAATTAATAAAGACGTAAACAGGAAGTAAAATAGGTCGATGTATGTTCTAATCCTCAATCTTCATAAAACAACGAATTAATGTGATGGGTGTAAGCGGTTGCTATTGATTCATAACTCATAAATCAGCCATCATTATCATACCCTATTTAGTATTCGTACTTTCAACGAAGAATCCTTTAAAGACTACTAATCCTGGATTAAGAAACGTAGAACAAATTAAGCAACGATTGATAATCATCACATGTTCGGTAATATTCACCTGTTTATGTTTTATTATTATTTTATTATTTTAAAATACAAAATAATAATAAAACATAAACAGGTGAATATTACCGAACATGTGATGATTATCAATCGTTGCTTAATTTGTTCTACGTTTCTTAATCCAGGATTAGTAGTCTTTAAAGGATTCTTCGTTGAAAGTACGAATACTAAATAGGGTATGATAATGATGGCTGATTTATGAGTTATGGACCGCTAGCAACCGCTTACCCCCATCACATTAATTCGTTGTCGTAGGAGTAGACAGACAAGCATTGGGAAGAAATAATAGAGGAAACTATCTAAAATCCAGCAAGAATAAAAATTTTTGAATTATGTGATGGAGGTGAAAACACATAAGATACACTGTTCGTTCGTAGCCACAGAGTTAAAGATCATCTCATTACACTTAACCAGAGCGCTTCTAAATTTGACATTCTAGTTGTTAGTCATGAATAGAACATGCGAATAACCTAGATTTGTTAGAGTATGCGATACGAAATCATATTTCTTGCACTTTTCAAGATTAATTGCTGCATATATCACTGTTGATACTTATTCTTTTGCTGCCTTATTTTAGGAAGATGATTTTGATCCAGTACCAGAAATAACTCGTCGTCACTTTGAAGAAGCAATGCGCTTTGCAAGACGCTCAGTAACTGAAAATGATGTACGGAAATATGAAATGTTCGCCCAAACATTGCAACAGTCAAGAGGAATAGGTAGTAATTTCAGGTTAGTGTATATATTCTTTTACCACCTCGTTAATGCAAACTACTAACCTGAGATTCTTATGTATTCTCGTTGGGTCATCACGATAGGCAAGCCCGACACCACGTCAAGGTATCAGCTACGGTCGGGCTAAATACATCATCAGATTTATTCTATATCCTTACGTTTAGCTTCGACATTGAAACTAATTGCCTCATAGGTGTAACTGCAACGTAATTCTAGACTACATTATGATCTTCATCTTATATATATATATATGTATATATATATATATATATATATATATATATATATATATATATATATATATATATATATATATATATATATATACGGCTCCGTAAGAACTCGGAAGGATAGGGACACACATCGTTGCCTTTTCGTCGTTTTTACCTACGCTCCCTCTGACTGAAGCTCGGACGAAGTGAAAGGTGACATTTACGGAAAGGTTTCTGAACTTCAGAAAGCTAAACACTCACATTACTCGCAGCAGGTGACTTTAATGCCCAGGTAGGCAGTTTAAACGAAACAGAAAGACATTTGGGTGGGTATTTTAGTATTCCGGCGCAGCGAACAGATAATGGTGACCGTCTACTGCAACTTTGCTCAGACAATCGTTTATTTTTAGCAAGCACAAATTTTAAGCATGAGGAGAGACATCGCTTAACATGGCAACTCCCTACACCAAACCAACGATGGACTCAAATAGACCATATTGCCATCAGTCATCGTTGAAGAGGGTCGATAGAAGATTGTCGCTCATTCTGGAGTACCTGTCTTGACTCCGACCATGCCCTAATACGAGCACGCATCTGCTTGCGCCTCATTGGACGCAAAAAAGCCACACTAAAAACACCCATTAGAACTGAACTGAGTAACGAGAAAACCAAAAGTAGACTCCAGGAACAACTGAGGTCACACTCAGTTATTTCTGAAAACGAGGCTGACCAAGATGTTGCTGTGGAAACAGCAGTGACATCTACCAGTGATTTAAACCACAGGGTTACAAAAAAGCTTTGGATTTCTTCTAAGTCTCTTTCACTGATAGATTCTCGTAAACTCATCCCATCAGGCCCTGAACACGATGATGAGCGAAAACTAATCGGATTTAGGTTAAGCGAAAGTCTGAGGAACGACCGTGAGCAGTGGTGGGCAACAAAAGCAAAAGAGATGGAAAAAGCAGCGGCTGTAGGGAACACAAGACAACTCTACAGACTAATAAAAGAAACTGGAATTAATAAGTCAAGTGTAAGTGAGACAATCACAGAAAAAATGGCACTCATCTGCTCCCAGTACAGACGTTTAGAACGATGGGCGGAACATTTTGAGGAGCAGTTCAGTTGGCCTTCATCTTCTCTACAACTACCCTCCATTCCCAGACAGCGTAAATGGAACATGGAAGTAGGTCCGCCGACTGTAACTAAAGTTCAAAAGGCTATAGCTAATGTGAAACGAGGAAGGGCAGCAGGACCAGATGGATTGGTTCCAGAGGTCTTTAAGGATGTTGGTCTAGTTTTCGCGATTAGGTCCACCTAAGGGAGTTGAAAAACGCTGAACAATTTACGAAGTATGATGGAATGCAATAGCTTGGACTCAATCTATGGTTGCTGAATAATTGACGTGATCCCTTTTTAAAGATAAGAATAACTACCAACTCATTCCAATATGTGGGAACACTCTTTGTCAGTCAGTCAGCTACGACGCAGGACCAGGCACATTTGTGTATCGGTCCAATTTGCCATACCTCATTAGCACAACAAAATGAACACCGAATTCATAAAGTAGTTAATTCTGTGGTGGTAGTATATAAAAGAAAGATTGCATATAAGGATATAGTACAGGAAGAAAGAATTAGTTCGTAGAGAGAAAGATATGAAGTGATCTTAATTGCATTGTTTCAGGAAAGACAAAGAGTGTATATACCGACGCCATTGTGATAGATTCTGAGCCATGTCACCCAGTCTCCAACCAAGAAGTGTGCATCTACCAACATGGGTCAGACTAAAGTTAGTGACTTCAATGACTATTGCCACGTTTTTGTTTGGCCACCCCTAACTTTCTTCAATCTGTCTTCAACACTAGTCAGCATTGTGCGCCGTGGTAGTCGGTGGTTTGACATGTGCAATACGTCACCCGACCATCTCAGTCGATGAAGATTAGCAACCTCACCAACTGATTTACTACCATTAACTAATATCCTACATCTAACCTCACTATTACTTGGAACGCTGTAACTCCTAGACAGTCGTAAAAACTCAGTGGGTTCCCTAACTAGACGTTTTCCACCATCTTTAAAAATGGTCGTAGGTAAATCATCTGGGCCTAGCGAATTGTGACACTTCATGAGCTGCTTTTGAACTTCCATCTCGTTAGGTGGGTCAGTTGTCATGGGTCATGGAGGGCAGAGCAGTCTGGTCGATGTTGTCGGAGCAGCATACTATTTAAAATGTTCCTAAAAAAACTGTCCATCGTCTGAGATATTGTACATTGACATCCCTTCAGCTTCACAGATTTTCTCACTCACACCAAACTTAATGGCAGTGTCTCGAATAAGTTGGAAGAGCTTCCGACATTTACCAGATGCAGTTGTTGTTTTCAATTCGTTAGTACGCTCCGACAACCAAGTTTATCGGTCCTTATGTCAACTTTACACAATTTCGTTAAGTAACAACCTCCGTTTATAGTCAGTCACCCAGTGCAGACCGATGTGCTCCACTGAGTTTTAAGGATCCTATAAGAACCCAGTACTTATAAGAGAAACTGCAAGCGACTTTACTTGCCATTTTCATAGCCAAACTTGACCCACACTTTTTGGTGAGTTGATAATCAGTTTTGAACATAGTTTGGTTTGATATTTGATTGTAACAGAAGCTGCAGCCGATTTGCTAACATCGATTCGTTTAGGACAATGGATTTGTTGGCCACTAAAATATAAGATTAGCGCAAACAAGGGCATGATCAGAGTCTAGATAGGTACTCCAAAAGGAGAACCAAACTTGTACACAGCCACACTTGCGGTAGCTGATCGCGATGTGGTCAATCTGAGTCCAGGTTTGAGATTCAGAGAGATATCAGGTAGCATATCGGCGATAGCTATAACTATCTCTAGTGATAACCAGAAATCGGTGTTGTAGTTTGCGCAATGTTGCAGTAGACAGTCATCGTTACCTGACCTGTGAATTCAACTCTCCGGCATGTACTGCAATTTCTTTCAAACGCCCTTCCTGTAGAAGAACAGTTAACTAGTGCTAAAACTCATCCTTGGTCGCCTCTGTGTTGCAATCTGTCAAAGCGTAAGCGGTGATGAAAAGACATCGTTTCTCACAGATTTCTTTACACTTTGATGGAGCTTTTTAATCTAACAGCACATAACCGACTGTTAATGGGGTTACAGTTGATCAGTGCTGCTTCAGCTCTAGCACTCAATGCCAACGCCTGCAAAACCAGACAAAAATGCCGCAGGGTCCTCGGATAATCACACGCAAAAATATTTTGGAAGAGACAGAGAGCCAATTTGTAGTACTCCATTAGAGTCAAAAATATGAATATCGTATAGACAACAAACGTCGATATTAAGACTTTCTAGTGACGAAGCCAACCCCATCTGTTTTACGATCTGTATTAGTGTGAACGTTGTAGACCAGTTTGAATTGCATACGTGCTCTCAGAAAAAAAAATGGTAGAGAATCTCTATTTGGCGGTAGCATTCAACGTCCGATTGGTCAGTGACTTGAGATCGTGTAGAAATAACAAGGTTTTGGCCATAGGCGAGCTATTGTAGGAGTTGAAAAAGAAAGGAACATTCAGGATAGAAATAAAGAAATAGTTAAGTGACGCAATATAAAATAAAAACGGATACTAGAAAAATTGTTTTGAGCATGATTTGCGAGAATGAGAATTAAAGCGTAAGTAGTTTTCCTAGTTTTAGTAATCATTCGTTTTTTTGTGTGGTCTGGTATACTTCCTGGGCACCCAAGCCGAGGCAGGTGGTTTTCTTATAGAACCACTCGAGCCTTAGACTTAGAGGTCTAATCTACAAGTCTGTAGATCAACGTTAGGAGATGCCGTTCTATGGTAGCCTGTGACCAACACTAGGTTCATACTTCATTTGTTTCCTTAGGATCCTGGAGCCCTTGTGTGTCATTGGTCGGGGACCAGGGCTTTCCAGCTTCCGTAGGTGGATCATCCGTACCCACCAACACTGGTTAAGCGCCGGTCATCCGCTTTTCGTCCTCTTGATTTTTTAAACAACACCCCCGCTTCGAGTAGGACTTCTGACAGTGGCCGTATATGCGTGGGAATATGAAAACATTTCTAGACGGAGGACGAACTCCCTACCCTTGGCCGTACCAAGGTGTTGGTGGGTTACCTCTGTTATTTTGGGATTCGCCTTTATGGTTTCATCTCGTGCTAATGGTATATGTCTACTTTAACCGATATACGCATATACCGGTTTCTACGTTGCGTTTGACTGAATCACATGTTCGTTCTGGTTACCATGAACATCAAATAAATGTCACCGAACAGCAGTTATTGTTTGTATACCACGAACTGTATTCGTAAAATTTTATTTTTTTAATCCATTTTATAATTTTTCTTAATACAGATTCCCTGGATCAGATGGTACTGGAATACCTACAGGTCCCGGTGGTCAAGGAGGAGGAGGATCAGCCTATGGATCTCAAAATGACGCAGAAGATTTATACAATTAAATGATTGTCACAACCTTTTACTTTTCAGTTTATTGAAAGCTTTAGGCTCAAGCTATCCTGTGTCATCAATTTTCATCTACTTATGCCTCTGGTTTGAATTCTAATTGCTACTTAGAAGTAATCAGTTATGTGACGTCTGATTGGTTAATTTTTTCTAACCCTGAACTGTTCCCTTTGTAATTCAGACAGAATTTGTACCTGCCATATTTCCATACATTTATTTCATGTTATTATTTCTCATTCTATTCAGTTATGTCTACAATACGTAATATTTTCTTTTACTCTTCGAACATTCGAGATGGGGCTATCACACTTACAAGTGAAATATCTTTTGAATAAGTATTTTCTAGTAGTGTCGATTCAAGTAGTATTTTGGGTTCCAATTCCATAAACTGTAGATCAAATTTTAACGTTGCACTAAAAGATAAATCTAAATTCTTTTTTATAAGTAATTACTATAATAAACAGGAAAATTTGAAGTCGATATTACCTGTTTCACTTCAAAATGACTAATAAGATTTAAAAGAAGAAAAATTGAATATATCGACTCTGACGTTATAATGATTCTGGAAAGTCAGAATTAAAGTGGAAAGTAGTAGATAACTTCCATTTTAGGGTATGTATTACTAATTTTATTTCATGTAATAAGTGCATACGACCTTCGTTCTTACACTTAATAACGTTACGAGCCTATAAATCTCATAAACTCAAGTCATATCCAACAAACTGTTGCATGAATTTTTATTATTTATTTTAACACATAAATATCGGTACAAGAAGGTACCAAATACATATGCGCCACACAGATCTCATTTGATATGTGTGAGGGCTGTGATACTGCCCGGGTGCCCAAACCGAAGCAGGTGGTTTTCTTAGGGGGCCACACCCCGAGCCTTCGACCTGAAGATCTGATCCACAAGGCAGTGGAGCATCGTGAGGAGATGCAGTCCCATGGTAGCCGGTGACCAACGATTGGTTCATACGCCATTTGTTCCCGCAGGATACTGGAGCCCATGTGCACCATAGAATTGGGATCCGGTTATAGCGCCGGACATTCGCTTTTCGTCCTCTCATTTTTGTAAACAACACCCCCGCCACGAGAAGGCAGTGAGTAGGACTTCCCTGGCAGAGGCTGTATACGCGTGGCCATATGAGAGCATTTCGAGAAGGGGAGCGGACTCCCCCCACTCGGCCGTACCAGGGCATTTGGGGGCTACTGTTGCATGAAAGTTAATCATATGTCGATTCCCGAGCTGCTAAATTCCAACTACCGATCACTAATTAACGAGATGGACTATCTTAATGAAGTGGGTACATATGTGACTGTAAACATGCTCGGATAACTATATTTCCTGTTTTACCTAAAGTATATGGGAAGAGTGAACTCTTACATCAGATCAACAAATACAAATATGGGAATCACTTAGAAAATACTGATAATCATGTTTCGCACGAATAACTAGGATTTATTTATAGATGACTCACTGGAAAACATTACTAATGTTATCACTTGCTATCTTAAATTTGTTGTCCTACTGAAACCATTTCTTCAAAGTTTTGATCGACTTACATCTCCACAACTAGAAAGACTTCAGAGGCTAAAAGAAAGAATGTACAAGGAGAAAAAACGGAAATTTAGAGAAAGATAATCCCTATACCTAAGAAAGTATCTGGCAATAAGAATGTGTAATTTATAATCAGCAGTAACTTTACCTTTGCTCAAAATGGAAAAAATATTGTTACTCCCACCTCAACCTGCATTAAAAGAGCACATTGATCCGTATTAGTTTGCTTACAAATGCAAAAGAAGCACCTTATATGCTGTTCTGCATCACAATATAGTGTTCAGCTTGGAAAAATGTAGGAAGGGCGTTCGATGCGCTTTCCTGGTTTGTACTCCTACTTTTGATTCCATCCCGAGGCGCCAGTGTGGTGTGTGCTACTTATGTAGACATAAGTAGTATATGACGTGAGTACTGAACAGAATGTCTGGCAGCAGAGAGACGAGAAGATCGAACAATAAAGAATGCAGTTTGTATGAAAATGCAAGAACAAAGGGATTCTGAGACAATTGATGAACAATTTGCAAATTAACGATTTAATATATGGTTGTTGGATTTTACTAACTAGTTCTGTAATTTGTTAAATACATTCGATTGTCCCCCACTGGTGTTCTGTTCACTGTCTCATGAAAGTGTGCCACGTGGGGCTGTTCTTTCACCTCTTCTTTTCTTCATGATCTGCCATCTTGCGAAATACGCGGACGATCTCATTGTATGTATGCCGATTTCTACCTCTTTACATTCCAAAGAAATGAGTGAGTTTTTGTTTTATATTAAATAGTAGTATGTTGTTAATGGTCTCATAATTAGTCTGTCAATTTTTTTTGTTTTTCGTGAAGAAACTTGTTGAAATACCTCGTGCTGAGAGTTCTATATTGTACCAAAATATAATATTGAATAAAACCATTAATAATAATATTTACTTATACATTACAATCTCCCTTCAGTTTATACCTCCATGCTTGCTTGTGAATGCCGTACACATAATATTTTACGGACAAAATAGTTGAGAAGTAATTCATATTAGCATGTTTCCGGATCTTGATGTACTAACAATTTGTCTTCTTTACTACACACAAACCTGACAAATTTCGGGTATGCATTCTGACAAGCAATCTGGTCATTTTAAAAGTATTTCACGCGTAACCAGCAACTTTGGTGTTTTTGATAATCGTTAAAATAAAAATTCTTTCGCTCTCAATTTATATATTACCGGGGTGCCTGATACTTTTTCTCATCATAGGGATATAATAATCTTACCATACTATCGTTATATTATCTGAGTAAATATTTGGTCATTAAAATTCACACCGGGGATTTCTGAAATTTGGCTGGATATTTTCCATATAAACATCCATAAAAGTGATTCGCTAACTTGTAGATCTATCCCTAGTATCAAAAAGGCAGTAATTTGTATCACAATTGCCACATCCTACCTGTAAGTCGGATGATAGTACAAAATCAACTGAAAAGTAACCTAAACCACAGTTCGATTATCGACTAAGTCTGTATACCGTTGAGGCGCTATGTACACGTCAGTTTTCAGAAATACTTGATGTAAGCAAACTACATAAACATAGTCAATTGAGATCAGATGTATTAGGTTCGTTAAGCTTGAATGCTACTACTGATTCGTCTTACTCAAAACGGAACGAAGTATCAAGGATCCAGAGACTCGATAGGCTATTCTGGTTCATTGTCTCCTACTCAGCTAACTCGATCAACAAGTCTTGGTAAGACGTAGAGAGTGTATTCTACAGGCGACCAGCAGATACCAGGTCAATCAGGCACACAAATCAAGCGTATTTATACAAATCTATATAGTCCATATTGTCATGGAAATTTTTAAACATTTCATCAATAAGTTCGTCAATCGACTGCCATTCGAATATTTAAACATTTAGTCGATAAGATAAAATTACAAAATGTGGGTTTTGAGGGATCTATCGCCCCCAACAAAATGTCTCCAGATTCTATGAGTACTGTTCAGTTTAACTGACACAAGACATGACTGAAGATTGTAAGGATTTATTTTTTCCTCAGAAATTGATTAACAAATGACTGCAGCTATAATCAAATATATGTTTAGTAGTACTGTGAAGCTATAATTTTAAATAGATATGACCATTATTATTTTCAGCATAGGTTTGTGAAAATTGTTGAGTTTTAATTGAGATCATGAACCGATCAATGTTAGACCACCAGTGGAAACCTGGGAGCACTAGTTGGCCGTTTCGTCCTGATATGGGACTTTTCAACAGTGGGCATCCACGATCCCACACGTGGGGTTCGGACCCAGGACCTTCGTTCTCGCGCGTGAACACTTAGTCTCCAGACCACTGATCCGGCAATCAACAGTGTTAGTGTCTAACTTCAACCAATCCATGATAATGCGCGACCAGCTTCGAGAGGTAATTCTCGGAGTTTTAGTAATAAGCCGTGACAAGTGGGTGTGAACCGTGTCGGGTATGGGCAGTTACCCACCGACAACAATGGAAAATGGTCTCGCAATATCGTGGATTGGTTGAAGTTAGACATTAACACCGTTAGGTGTCGGCTCAGTGGTCTATAGGTTAAGTGTTTACTTGTGAGACCGGAGGTTCTGGGTTCGGATCTTGCGTGCTGGATTGTGGGCAAGCAATGCTGAGGAGTCAGGTTTCAATTTAACTCACTAGTGGATGACTTACATAATGTGTATCCCGTAGTCTGTTTCCCTCTAAATGAATTTTAACCATGTTTACTTGTGTATCAAATACTGTGTACGTGTCATTTTGTTAAAAAGGACAATTTATTTATTAGCCATTCTATATTTTCATATTCATTCATTGGAAAATTTGTTGTAGATTTATTCACTTCCTAGCCGTAATTATCATTTGGCCGAGTTTTACATCAATTCAGGGGATCGATCACACAGCCCCCAAATGCCCTGGTATGGCCGTGAGCGGGGAGGGTTCGCCCTCCCTCTCCAAATACTCTCACACGGCCACGCGTATACAGCCTCTGCCAGGGAAGTCCTACTCACTGCCTTCTCGTGGCGGGGGTGTTGTTTACGAAAATGAGAGGACGAAAAGCGAATGTCCGGCGCTATAACCGGATCCCAATTCTATGGTGCACATGGGCTCCAGTATCCTGCGGGAACAAATGGCGTATGAACCAATCGTTGGTCACCGGCTACCATGGGACTGCATCTCCTCACGATGCTCCACTGCCTTGTGGATCAGATCTTCAGGTCGAAGGCTCGGGGTGTGGCCCCCTAAGAAAACCACCTGCTTCGGTCTGGGCACCCGGGCAGTATCTCAGCCCACACACTAAAACTATGATGAACTATGTGCTTATAGAAAATATTCGTTTCTCTCCGACTAACATTGAAATGACTGGTATTATTATTATTATTATTTACTACGTCGTTTATTCACTATCTCCTATTTCTACTTTTTGTATCCGTTTCGACTCAGACAGCAGCTCGCCTATGGTGAAAATTCAGCTTAATCTAAACGTTCTCGAGTCACTGCATGGTTGAAAATTGTATGTTACTACCGAATATGAGTACTGAAGCAGTTTTTCTGAAACCACGTGCACCATTCAAACTGGCTGCCTTCAACGTTCGCACACTTATGCAGGTCGGACAACAGATAGGGCTGGTTATGTCTTTGGAAAGTCTTAATATCGATGTGTGTTGTCTATCCGAGACCCGTATTCAAGACTCTGGTGAAGTACTACAAGTTCGCTCTCCATCTGTCACTTCAAAAAGCTTGTTTTATGTGCGTTTATCCGGGGACCCTGTGGCATCTTCGTCTGGTCTTGCTGGCGTTGGTGTCGCACTAAGCGCAAGAGCTGAGGCAGCACTAATCGACTGGATCCCCATTAACAGTCGGTTATGTGCTGTTAGATAAGAAAGTTCCATCAAAGTGAGAAGAAATCGGCGTGAGAAACGATGTCTTTTCGTCATCTCCGCCTATGCCCCGACAGATTGCAACCCGGTTCAATCAAGGATGAATTTTACCACCAGTTAACTGTTCTTCTCCATAAAGTGCGTTCGACAGATATTGTAGTACTAGCCGGAGACTTGAATGCTCAGGTCGGGCGTCTAGGCACAGAAGAGAGTCGTTTAGGTGGCCGATGGGGACTCGTTGGTGGCAGGACAGATAACGGGGAACGTCTAATGCAACTATGCACAGACCACAAACTGTTTCTGGCTAGCACTAACTT